TTACAGTTTTATATAATTAATTATGATAATTAATTCCTTTTCTTATATTTCATTATTCTAATCGAAACACTTTCTCACACTTTTAAATTCACATCCTGTCCTTAAATCTATTTTTGGCTCAAGCAAGTAAGACATTTTTTCTCTTTGCTCCTTGTGGGAATCGCGCAACCTATTTAATAAACCAATTACAATTACTGAGATTTCCCTTAATCCCTAAAATGTAACATTTTGCGGATTTACTTCGCAAGATTTTTCCTAACTTATATCGAGCACATTTATAGCTGTTCTCAGTCTAATAATTAATAATTTTTGTACCCTCCTTCCCTGCCTAAGAACTGTTTTAATCGTTCCACTTGGCAACAACGTTATATATATATAATTCATCTTAAATATAAAAGAAATAAGAAATTTATAAAATATTTACACAACTTAAAAATATTAAATTCTTGCCACACTGTTTTATTTATACTGTTAACTGTATATACTGTTTTTATTGCTGTTGTCACATTCTTTCCGAATTCTATAAATGCTTAAAAAAATTTATGTTTAGATAAACTTTTCAAAAGATTAATTGATATTCCAATATATTATTGACATGATGGTTATTAGAGAGTAAATTTATTTATAAAAACTAGAAGAACTTTGAAAGCTAGGCAGTTCAGATGGGGCCGGGAGAATACCTCCAAGAAATGAGAAGGCCTCAGCATGGGTCACCATAACCATGATATTTGATCCTTTAGTAGTCTAAACATAATGACATTTTTTGTATTTACCGCTACTGTGCAGCTCAGTAGAAGCGGAGTCGATGGCGTCTTTAATCAGGGGTCTGTTTAGAAGAAATTTAGGTTCGTTAATGGACCATTCACAAAATATCTTTTCATAAAAACGAACACTTCACAAAATAATTTATCTTTAAATAGGACCCTTCACAAATTTGTTTATCTTCATTATTGTTTTGTTAATCGAATAAACCCTTCCCAGGGAGGAGGGGAGAAAGACAGATGTAAACGAACTAAGTAAGGACCTTTCACAAAATGTCTGTACAGACCCCTGATTATAGCCACGCTTGAGGAAATTTCCGTATCATGATCTGCAGCAGAATAATCGTCAAGACTTGGAAACTTCTGGGCAGTGGTCCGTGAGAAACTAAAAAAACATCATTGAAAGGGACTAACTCGAAAGGTATAACTCATAGTCACCCCCAGACAAGCATCTACATATTTTTTTAAAAAAAATTTGCAAGTTTAAAATCTATTTGGCACCTTGGGGATTGTAGTTGGCGCGACAGATCACAATACGGAAAATATCCCCTATAGTTTTAAATCCTGCAGAAAAATTTTGCAAGACTCACTAGTTTGAAAAATATGTTTGTTTTAGAGATGTAATAATTACCAGATTTTATATTATCACAGAGGTATAACAACTGTGATTTTGATGGTACTTAAAATATGTTTCATAAGAATCAAATTTTTGAGGAAATAACAGTAATAAACCAAATCATTAAAACCTAAAAGAATAACTAATATAACCTATCAATGTTTTTAAATGCTAAAATTTGGGAATGTGCTCAAAATTCTCGATTTTTAAAGAATACAAGCAAAGCTAAATCAACAGATAATTCAACTGGAAGTTTTAAGGTCAATTCTATCATCAACAAGGCCGGATTAACCATTAAGCACACTAAGCACGTGCTTAGGGCACCAGAGGATAGGGGGGCACCACAAAGTCTAACTAAATGTTCGCAGTACATAATTTTTTTTTTTTTTGAAACATTGATAATAAATTTATTATTTTGAGCTTCCATTTTAAGGGTAGATAACAACCATTTCTAAGTACGAAATTTCACATAATAAAAGAAAAAAAAAACGAAAGATGTTTTGTATCAAAAATTTTCGGTCTTCTAATGAAATTAGGAAGTGAATTTCTTTGCGACAAAAGCTCTATTTATTTATCCATTACAATGATTCCATAACATACTGCTACGATTCATGTTTACAGAATATTTTTCGCAGTTGTAGCAAGTTAATACTCCGGCAATTTGATATTTTTATGAAAAAAAAANTACTAAGATTTCCCTTAATCTCTAAAATGTAACCAGGGGTCTGTCCAGACATTTTGTGAAAGGTCCGGTTTTTGTGAAATTGTGAAAAAATTACTCACATTCTTTCAACAAGGGTCCTGCTTTTATGAATTTGTGGAAATAAGGTCCGGTTATTGCAAAAAACTTTTTCAAGGAGTTTTTAAATTGTAAATAGATACAAGATTATGCTCAACACTGTAAAATTATAATAAAAAGAATTAAATTTTCGAAAACAAACAGCAATTGCTGCTTCTAAATTAGAGATGCAACAGACAAATATTTGATATTTAGCCTATACTGCTGAGTGCAGAATATTCATTTCAGATGAATATTGGAAGAATCGTCAGCTGAAGACAAAACTTAATTCGTTTACATCCATCTTTCTTGTTTTCTGCCCCGGGAAGGGTTTATTCAATTAACAAAACAATAATGAAGATAATGAATAAATTTCGTAACCTCCTTCCTTGCCTAAAACCCCTGTTTTAATCCTTACACTCAGCAACAATGTTATATATATATATGATTCATCTTAAATATAAAAGAAATAGGAAATTTATCAAATATTTACAACTTAAAAATATTAAATTCATGTCACACGTTTTTATTGCTGTTATCACATTCTTTCCGAATTCTATAAATGCTTAAAAAAAATTATGTGCAGATAAACTTTTCAAAAGATTAATTGATATTCCAATATATTATTGATTAGATGGTTATTAGAGAGTACATTTATTTATAAAAACTAGAAGAACTTTGAAAGCTAGGCAGTTCAGATGGGGAGGAGAATACCTCCTAGAAAAGAGAAGGCCTCAGCATGGGTCACCATAAACAAGAAATTTGATCCTTTAGTAGTCCCAACGTATTGACATTTTTCATATTTACCACTACTGTGCAGCTCAGTAGCTCAAACATAGTGAGATCTTTCTTATTTTTCATCCACTGCATAGTTTATGTTCATTACGTCGGACAACTAAATTGATCTGTGCTGAGGCCTTCTATCTTCTAGGAGGTTTAGGTCAGGGTTACAGTCCTTAATCTCTTTATAATCTTTGTGAAATAAAAATGTTCACTCAATATTATTTTGAATGGTACCCAGAGACCATAAAAGACAAAAGTCGCCAGGCAAGTTTAAAAATTGTGCACATGGATATTTCTATATTAGGGTCGGTTTTCGCCCATTACCGTTGCCAAGCCAAGATTTTGTACCTGCAGAAATTTTTAAAAAAATAATGTGCAGTTGTCTGCCAGAGGGTAGCAATGAGTTTGTCCCTTTCCTGAGATTTTTTTCCATATTTTTTTATATTAAATGGAATCAAAATTTTGGTGTGCATTATAGCAGGGGACTGTTTAGAAGAAATTTGGGTTTGTTAACGGACCTTTCACAAAATATCTTTTCATAAAAACGGACCCTTCACAAAATATTTTAACTTAATAACGAACACTTCACAAAATAATTTATCTTTTAATAGGACCCTTCACAAATTTGTTTATCTTCATTATTGTTTTGTTAATCGAATAAACCCTTCCCAGGGGGGAGGGGAGAAAGACAGATGTAAACGATCTAAGTTTTGTCTTCAGCAGATGCTTCTTCCTCTATTCGTCCGAAATGAATATTCTGCGTTCAGCAGTATAGGCTAAATACCAAACATTTGTATGTTGCATCTTTAATTTAGCAGCAGCAATTGCTGTTAATTTTTTAAAATGTAATTTTTTTAAATTATAATCTTACAGTGTTGACCATAATCTTGTATGTCTTAACAATTTAAAAACTCCTTGAAAAAGTTTTTAGCAATAACAGGATCCTAGTTGCACAAATTCACAAAAGCCAAAGCCTGGTTGAAAGAATGTGACTTAACCTTTATTTTATATTCACAAATTACGAGCTATTTTTTCACAATTTTACAAAAACGCACCTTTCACAAAATGTCTGGACAGACCCCTGATTATAGACACCCTTGGGGAGATTTCAGTTTCGTGATCTGCAGCAGAATAATCGTCAAGTCTTGGAAACTTCTGGGCAGTGGCCCGCGAGAAACTAAAAAAACATCATAGAAAGGGACTAACTCAAAAGGTATAACTCGTAGTCACCCCCAGACAAACATCTACATATTTTTTTTTTAAAAATTTGCAAGTTTAAAATCTATTTGGCACCTTGGGGATTGTAGTTGGCGCGACAAATCACGATACGGAACAGATCACAATATCCCCTATAGTTTTAAATCCTGCAGAAAAATTTTGCAAGACTCACTAGTTTGAAAAATACGTTTGTTTTAGAGATGTAATAATTACCAGATTATATATTATCACAGAGGTATAACAACTGTGATTTTGATGGTACTTAAAATATGTTTCATAAGAATCAATCGAATTGTTTGAGGAAATAACAGTAATAAACCAAAACATTAAAATCCAAAAGAATAATTAAAATAACCTATGAATGTTTTTAAATGCTAAAATTTGAGAATGTGCTCAAAATTCTCGATTTTTAAAGTATACAAACAAAGCTAAATCTACAGATAGTTCAACTGAAAGTTTTAAGGTCAATTCAATCATCAATAGTAGAAAACTGGTCCTCAGTAATTCCTAAGTTATCATACAATGTTAGTAGGCCTAGTAGAAGTACATTAGAGGTCATCGGAACTTTTTTTTTAAGAAGAGCATTAACATAATAAAATACATGTATTTGGTTAGTAGTTTTTCTACGAGCTCAATAATACGAAGACACTACAGCGGTTTTTTCATAGATTCTTCATCACAAATAAATACGAAACTTAGATGTATAAGAATTATCAATATAAAAACGATATTTCTAAAAAATTTGTTGATAAAAGACAGCATTAACTGTAGAATATTATTTCTTTTTTACATTAGATAAGCAAGCAGTGCATGATATTTGCAATAAATAAAAAACTACACTTACTTTAGTTGATTTTTTTCTTCCAAACTCATACACGAAATTAGATTATTATAATTTAAACACAATCCACATATTGTAATCCAAAATAATGCAACAATTTTTTGATAACCCATGGTAATTATTGGAAAGGGAGCAACTGAATAGATAATAAGGCGTAAGATTTTAATAAGTTCATACTAATTAATATAAAGAGCTTTCTATACTATTAAGCATCTGATTGAATACAGATGCGTATCGAAATGCGTTGTTTAACAATATTTCAAGTAATTTACTTAACCATAACATCATCTGTCATAGCACAACACATCACTATAGTACTTTCTTCACCCCCACATCTTCCCCTTCTCCTGCTTCCACTTCCACTATCGGAAATTAAAATTACGATTAAACTGACCATTAATCGTTTCATAAAATAAAAATATATTCAATAGTCGCCTTTATATTTCGGGATTTTAATATATATGCATGATATGAGATTACATTTTGGAAAACTAGATTTTTCAAAACCACTAGTTTTAAAGTTTGAAAGAGGAATTTCCTTATAACTTCATTTCCTTTCAACGATTGGTCAAATCTAATGTACTCAAATATGATTGGTTAAAATTCAAACTGTCTGCTTACTGTTCTGTACAGTAAAAATATAGCTCATCAAAAATTTCAGTAAAATAGAATTTTTCGATAAAAACACATATTTATATTATTTTTCTTTACTTTGCCTTTCTGCAGTTGATATTTTAAGAGCTTATTTTCTAAAATCTAAAAAAAATAAGTAAAATAAAAAATGTAGAAGTAGTGTTTTGAAAATTTGAAACCGAAACTAATTTCAACGTGGGATTGGGAACTGAAAGTTGTCTGTATCTCATTCTAATATATATTTTCTATCCCCTTTTACTGCATGTTTTGATTTCGTCGAAGCCGGTTATTTATTTATTTTTTTTAATTTCAAAATGCTGCATTTTGTTTGTTCGCGTTTTCTTCAGCTTTATTTTATTACTGGCAAAGGTGAGAAATTTTGAGTTGTCTGTTGTATTTATCGAACACGTGAAAAAAAATTAATAAAATATAGTTATTATCTATAAAAACTGCTCTTTGATTATACTGTTATTTAAAATATTTTTTTTTAGCTAAACCTTTATCAATAATTCTATGAAGTAAATCTTTTTTCAACACTATTTATTATTACTATGTAATATAATACTTCTGTTACTATGATTAAATGGAGTTAGTAATAATAAGTTATGGTTATTTTTTTAATTTTAGATATTCTGAATAAATAGTTGAACTGATGGTCTTGAAAAGGAAACGAATAGTATATCAAGCCTACTTACTACCTATGAAATGCTAGAAGAACGTAAGCTAAGCTGTCTTCTTGGTTATAATTTCAAATACGAATTTTAGAAATCTTAATCAATTTCTTCTTGTGCAAAAAAAATTGCATGGATAATAATTATGGTTTTATAAATATATGCATTTTATCACGTATTTTAATTAAGAAAATCCATTTTATATTGTATAATGTTTAGCTTAAGTTCGATAAATCTTTAAAAATATTCTTTAGTTGAATAATTGTATTTAATTTTTTATCAGTATTCTTTTAAAATTTGAAAGAATAAGCATAAAAATCAAAGAATAAACCATGTAGGAAAAAACTTTTTCAAGAATATGAGATTATATTTTTTTACCTTGTTGAAAGTTTTTCAGATGTTCAAATTATATTACATGTTTCCAATATATAAATGGCAGTAATATGTTGGAAACATGGATATTGGATTTTTATTTTTTGAAAATTTTATTATATTTATTTGTTTCTGAGTTGTTTTACCCTAAGCTATTATTTCTGTACAGAAATTTACATCATTGATATCTGTCATTTTTCTTAGTAAATATGATATTCTCACCAATGACTAGAATTTTTGTTAGTTTCCTTGAATATATTATTCATTATAAGTAAAAGCGCTTTTTCATTCTAAAATAAAATCATCAATGTTTTAAGTTTAAAAGAACAATCTTAATTATCAATGGGTGTAACATCCCCTCTCCTTAACACTAAGCCTATGAACCTAATACAGTAGAAATGAATCCTAAGTTTCTAAAAATATGGAACATTTTATTGTTGTAAACATTTCCATCTTTGATATTCTTGTCAATGGCATATTATGATCAGGACTGTGATTAGTCCTCTTACTATGTATGTTTTAGTATAGACTTCTTTTTATCAAACCATATAAAGGAAAGAGGGGAAAAAATTGTTTATAATAACCTCCCACCCCACCCAAAACCACATTGCAAAAAAAAAAACTATGTGATTAGGAAGCCCTCCCTTTCTATGTAGAATCTGCTTTTCCTCTCAAAACATGCCATGATAAAGAATAGCTGAAAAAACTTTCTTTTTTGCTAACATCTTAAAAATCAGTAACATAACCAATAAATAAAAATGTGACTTGGTTCTGAAATTATCAATTTAGTAATTATTAAAAATGCATTAAGAAAATTATGTATTGCCAGTATCCTATCAAAAAATGACCATTGCTTTTTCCTAACAGACCTTCTACATAGTCTATAGCATATATGAAAACATAAGTCTATAGCATATATGTCAATTGAATACAAGTTGAATTTGGAGCACTTTGGCTACATGGAAAGTGATCAAAATATCTATTTCTATTACACCCTGTTGGTCAATAAAATGATAATAAACTCTGTTGTGGTCAGGAAGTGACTTGTATTTTCAATAAGCACAGAGCTCAAGTTAAGATTTGTGAGTACTCTAGCTAGTGGGGAAGAAGTAGAAATTTCAATTGCATGTTACCATCGTTACAAACACAAAAGCTAGTCAATTCAGTTAATAATAATAAATGCTGTAGGTAATAAAAAAAACTATTATAAATTCACGGAGAATTGTCACAAATTTCCCAACAATCTCAGAGATGAAAAAAAAGTTCTTGTTATTTTTATTAATTATTTATAATGTTTTTATACAGTATTGAGCTTTTGTATGATTTTTTATTCTCTCTAAAAAAAAAATTTCAGTTCGATAATTTTTTTTCCCGGAATATTAACTTGAGACCCGCAGTAAAAGTAGTTTTTTCACTTAATTTTTAGCTAAAATTTAAAAAGCATATTAAAAGAAATTACAGAACACCCGGAAAGTTTGAATAAAAAAATATGTTATATTTCATGTTGTAATTAAAATGAAAAAAAAATAGCTTGTGGGCCAGGGAAGTTTTAAAAAAATAAAACCCCAAAATTGTCAAAATTATTTTAATTTGGTTCTAAAATCACAAAATATGTAGTTAACGCTGAAAACTCTTCAAAGAGTTGATTGAAAAATTTTGATTCCCAGCAAAAACTGTTTGATTTTACAGTTATATAAATTTACTTTTATAAACTTACATTAATTTTATTTAAGAAAAATATTTACTTTTTTTTATTTGTGTTGATATTTTTAATTTAAAGAGCATCAAAGTGCTTAGGGCCTCTAAAGCTCCTAATCCGGCCCTGATAGTCCTATGACCGTTCTCTATGAGTCGAGTAATTAATACAAAAGAATAATTAACTCAGTGCGATATATTTGTTTCCACAATTATTTTAAATTTCGTTAAGATATTTAACCAAGCTCAATTTTACTACCACACACGAATTTAGAATCGAGCCTATTCCGTCGAAAAGCCACGTATCAGTTAAAATCCCAATTTTTTCAATACTACATAACTCAAATTCCGAATCGTGTCATGCCTATCACAAATATGTGATTTTTCGAAAGTTGTTACTACCGATTTCACTGCCGTTTTTTATTTAGCCTCGTTATTTTTGACTACGATTTTATTAGGACATTCGAATTTCGATTCGAATATTAAATTGCGCATTTGTAACAATCGCCTTTTGGCACGTTTAATTCGTGATCTTGTCTAAAGGCACTATTGTTTACGGATCTCCATGCGATTTATAAAATCGTTATTTTTTCTAAATTTTATTAGAACGGTTTTCACACGGTCTTGTCTTTCGATTTACGACTTTGTTGTTTTATGCACGACTTTTAAAAATCCCGTAATTTTTAATACTATGTAATTATGACTCGCGAATTTCCATTTGAACACTTTTTGACTCGTTCGATTCACACTAATTCGTATGCTAGGTTGTTTATCGTTTTTTCTGTTGTTAACACTACGAGTTTCCAAACAAATTTTTTTTAGATCCTATTTTATATTTGATTTTATTACGACTTTCAAATAGCGCATTTTAGTATTACCTTTTTAAAGCGTTTCATTCGCGCGGATTCCACCTTATATATTCTCATGGATTTGTTAATCGATTTTTGGCAGTTATTACTACGAATCTTCACTTTTTTTTTTTTTTAAATTGTTTTAATGCGACATTGTAACGTACCACGAACTTCGAATTGTGCATTTGAACAATGACTTAATGACGTACTCGATTTGAGAAGATCCCACAATAAATCCTCCTGGTTTAATCCTTGCCTTCTGGTTTTTTCTATGAATTTTTAGGTGGTTTTTATAAGCTCGTTGTGTTATTTCGAAATTATCTTGTCCGACGAATTTTTAACCATGCATTCCAAGAATCACTTTTAGGATCTAGGTTAGCGATAATTTTACCACTTATTCAAGTGGTTGTATTCATCACAATAATTGTTTTTCCTCTGGATTTGCACATAACTTTTAAAATCTCGATTTTTAGCGCTACATTATTTTGTACGATGAATTTCAAATCGTACATTCAAAGAATCACTTTTTGATGCTATTGATTTGCGACGATTTTATTAAAACTACAAGTGGATCAATTGATCACTTTTCCAATAGTTATTAATACAGATTTTTGTACGATTCTTAAAATCTGAGTTTCTATTTTGATATGATAATGTTACGATGTGCGAATTTTTCAAATCGCTCAATTGAATTATCACTTTATGACGCGCTCCACTCGTGACAATCATATCAAAAACCAGTGAAAAAATGCTCAATTTTTTGACAATAGTTGTATTTCCATGCTAGTTAAGAAAAGAATACGCAAGTTTTTTGCGTAGTGAAATGCCGTATTCGATAAGATTCAGATAATGCTTCTGTAATATCCATTTTTAAAATCATGGAATTGTTCTTAGCACGATGTAGCGCACATTTGAGTAATTACAAAGAAAACTGGGAGGGAATGTATTCTGTCCTGATTTAAATGCGGAAGGTGAAATGAAAATGCAGAAAGCTTCCGCAAAATTTTGACGAGTTGACAGCTATGGAACACAAATGAAAACAAAATAAAACACTAGCCTAAAAAAAAAATTTTTTTTTTATTTATTTACTCCCATTTATTACTCCCCTATTTTTTTATTGAGGAGATCTCATGTTCTGGGGTCGGGATAGTCTGGTTGGCTGGGCGCTGGACTCACGTTCATGAAAACAGGAGTTCGAAACCAGCTGGTTGAAGACTCTCCGTGTAATAAATGGTGACTGGTGCGCATTAAATCTGCGTGGTCACTAAGTCCTCCATCTTCCCATAACAAATTATACATCTGGTGTACTGGATTAGAAATAGATCGTTCTTTGGTTCAGATCAAAATTACGATCTGTGAATGTATGAATGGATCCTCCTTATATACGGGTGTGACGTATGGGTGTGGCAGAAGTCGAATTCTTGGCCATAGATGGCACCACTGAAAAACGAGAATAATCGCATCCCCAGTGCCTTACCCAAGTCAAAATTTTTGATGGTTTTCCTTTGATGGACCAACATAATCCTTGATGGTAACCAACATAAGCAACCATCNATACAAAAGATAACTTGATGGTTGAACCATTATAATAGTAAAGCAATATCTTCCATCATATTTTAATGGTTGTTGTTGGTCCAACATTAATAAACACATCTTGTTGGTGGACCATCAAAATAGCCATGCAGCATCTTCCATCATATTTCGATGGTTGTTGTTTGTCCAACATTAAAATAACATAACTTGTTGGTAGACCATCATAATGGTAAAACAACATCTGCCATCAAAATATGAAAGTTTATGTTGGTCCATCAAAAATCAAACATTGATTGATGGTTTACCATCATAACATAAAGCAACATTTTCCATTTTGTAATGATGGAAATTTGTTGGGCCATCAAACACCATCAAAACTAGATGGAAATAGTTGTATGATGGTGAGCATCAACACATGTTGGACCATCAAGAATCTTATTTAAACCAACATAAACCATCATAATTCTTTGATGGTACCATCAAGAATTTTGACTTGGGTAATGGCCTACGATAACAACATCCCACGTTCTCCTGAAATATGTCCTTCAAACAACTGTACTACTGCATTTATAGGCATTTTTCGATAATTGATTGGT